AAAAAAAAAAAAAAAAAAGAAAAAGAAAAACTGAGGCAAGAGGACCACGTGAGCCCAAATTGGAGGTTGCTGTGAGCTATGACACCATAGCATTCTACCCAGGGCAACAACTTAAGACTCCGTCTCAAAAAAAAAAAAAAAAAAGTAAAAAATGAGTATACTTACCATCTTTAAACTTCTTTCAAAAACAATTTAACAATCTTTAAAATTTTTCATGGTACACTGGTTGAAAATCACTGTTCTGTGGCATATCTTCCTACCTTCCTTAACTCTGTTAAGCTACAACCAACAAGATCTCATACTTTGTAAATCCTTTTTCTTTTCTTTTTTTTTTTTTTTTTGGGCCAAGGCTGGGTCTGAACCTGTCACCTCCAGCATATGGGGCCAGCCCCCTACTCCTTTGAGCCACAGGCGCTGCCCCGTAAATCCTTTTTCTGACCAATCCATCAATTCTCCTGCCTTACTCTCCCTACATAATAAAAATGTAAAAGGCCAGGAGGCTGGGCACCTATAGCTCAGCGGCTAGGGCACCAGCCACACACAGAGTGGGCAGGTTTGAATCCAGCTTGGGCCTGCCGAACGACAACTATAACCAAAAAATAGCCAGGTGTTGTGGTGGGCACCTATAGTCCCAGATACTTGGGAGGCTGAGGCAAGAGAATTGCTTAAGCCTAAGAATTTTTTTGTTTGTTTGTTTGTTTTTTGAGACAGAGCCTCAAGCTGTCACCCTGGGTAAAGAGCTGTGGTATCACAACTCACAGCAACCTCCAACTCCTGGGCTCAAGTGATTCTCCTGTCTCTGCCTCCCACATAGCTGGGATTACAGGCACCCGCCAAAACGCCCAGCTATTTTTTGGTTGCAGCCGTCATTGTTGTTTGGCAGCCAGGCTGGATTCGAACCCGCCAGCTCAGGTGTATGTGGCTGGCGCCTTAGCAGCTTGAGCCACAAGCGCGGGCCTAAGCCTAAGAGTTTGAGGTTACTGTGAGCTGTGAAGCCATGGCACCCTCTCCAAGGCAACAGCTTGAGACTCTGTCTCAAAAAAAAAAAAAAAAAAAAAAAAAAGAAAGAAAAGAAAAGAAAAAAGGGCCAGGAAATAATTTTGTTATTCCCCAACAATTTTCCTTAACTTATGCTCTCAAACCAGGGGGAGGAGAGACACCTAGAAAGTGTCCCTGGCTTCCTGTCTCCACTGTGGAGCCAGTACAACCAGCTTGGGACACCTCCATAGCAAGGGGCACATCCTGCTATGGCTGCTTCCTGAAGGATGTTTTGGATGCTACTGTTTCTTTTCTTCTTTTTTTGAGGGAGAGTCTCACTATGTTGCCCTTGGTAGAGTACCATGGCGTCACAGCTCACAGCAACCTCCAACTGCTGGGCTTAAAGCGATTTTCT